AAGGAGGTTCCTACACGCGTGCACTCGTACTTAAGCATTCATTTTCCTTTATAAGAAAGATCTTAAAACTCCTAGCCATCTTTGGCACATCTTCAATACAAACCAGGTAATATAACTTTGGTTTTGTTAGATAATTTATCTTTAAATCAAGATACTTAATCAATTATTTCAGGTGTGATTGTCAGGATCAGAGTTTGACTTCCCCGACGAACCATCATGGAAAGGGAATCGTTGTCCTTAACAGCTTCAGCAACATCGGCTGTGGTAGTAACAGGTTGCCCATTTATGCTGACAATTACATCGTGGTCTCTCAACCCAGAGCTGGGAGGGGAGAAAGAAAGGAAAATGAAACTCTACGAGTTTTACTCATCCCAGCTAGAATTTAATGTCTAACTCTTACGGCACTACTATTTTGCTGGTAATAAACACACCAACTGGGAAACCAGAAATAGCCTCAATCCTTTCAAATATGAGGACTGTTCTAAGATATCCTGTGAAATCTCCTTGAAGACAACAATCTTACTTACTTTCATAAAATTAATATTCTACCACAATCATGTGAAAAAGGTTTACTCCTCCCATATATTGGATTTGGTTTGGAATAGGAGTTTAGCTTTTCATTTCTGTTAATCTCTGACCTCTGTTAACCTGAAGCATACTCCCATTCTTATGAGCAAACATGAAAAGCCCAGTCAATATGTTTTTCCCTAGACAGCTACACTCTGATCAGTTTGATTTGACAGCCCACTTACCCCATCTTCAACCATAGTTTATGGTACGAGAGAGTATGTTGAGCTATACTATTAAAAGCTCTGTTCCCAGTAAGTCAAAAACTAGTCACCCTTCCAAGTCTAAATATCTAAGGCTCTGATTCTAGACTCCTTTTCCCCAAAGTTGTGACTGTATGCAGTCTCCTCCATCGTTGTTTCACATAGAATGTATATCTTAGAAACAGAAACCACCTCTGACATGCAATAAATACATAGCTATGCTGTTGACTTGTCTTAAAGTAAAAAATAAGCTGAAAGAGGGACATAAAATTAAATGACTGCAGGAGAAGCAAGAATAATAGGATGACCAAGATATGTGGAATTTATGAAAAAAAATAGGAGAAATTTAAAGCAAGAGAATGTGAAGAGAAGTTTGAAGGTAGACAGAGCTACAAGCATGGAAAGCCTTTAGCACAAGGTTACTTTGGAAGGTGACTGGTACAGTGTGCAAAGGGAGAACTCAGTTCATGGTAGCTCTGTGAGTGGAAAAAAGAAACCTGCAAATTATTGCTGAGCCCAAATATGAGGCTCAGACAGGATAAATGTCCCACCGCTTGTAAAAGGCTAGGATTTGATTCCTGGTCTTCAGACTTGAAAACCTTCTTCTTGCCACTTGATCAGTGTGCCTCTCAGAAGCAAGAAGAGCAGCCACGAAAGCAGGATAATACAGAGGTTAACTTAGGTTCCACATCCCTGCTGTCTGACTTACTGTGTAACTCTCACATTGACCTCTCTCTGCCACAGCTGTGTCCTCTGTAAAATAATACCTATACCATAAGACTACTGCGGGCTCAAACCAAGCATGTAAAAAATATTAAATGATGCCTGACATATATTAAGTAGTTAATAAATGCCAGCTGTTATTATTATCATTATCATTATTATTATTATTATTATTAGATGTAAGTGGCTGGAGCCAAAACAGATTTCTGGCTCAGCAGTGACATCAAACAAGCAGTAATGCCCACATTTTAATGCGCATCCCAATCAAGGAGATCTTGTTTACAATGCAGTTTCTGATTCAGTGGCAGGCCTGTCGTTCTGCATTTCCCAAAAGCTCCAGCTGATGCTAATGCAGCTGGGCTACAGACCACATCCTGAGTAGCAAGGCCTTGGAGAGCTGAAAGAAATAGCTTTGGCCTTGAACCAGAAGTTAAAAATAAGGATTGGGATGAGGGGGGTGGCGGGGAGGGACCAGGAACTAAGGCTAGGAAAGCCTGTGACAAGCCAAGTTTAGTAACATGAGACCTAACACTTAGCTATTCTGAACAGGTAGTACCCTAGGGTTTCTTGCCCCCTACTAAAAGCGTTGCTGTAATCTAAACAGATTACTGAGCTCTTGAAAAACAAATACAGTGAGAGAGAGAGATACTGAAGAAGCTTAAGCAAGAGACCCAGGAGAGTAATTGTTGGACAAGACACCTCTGCTCTCAGTAGTTAGTGTAAATGTTCGAAACAACATCAAGACCACTGGAGCATCTTTGGAAAGCTACTCTAACCTTGGCTTGATTTATTTCTTTGTTTATTTGTTTACTTGCTTAGTGCTGCCATCTGATACTGTCATCCAGAGTTCAAAGACTAATGTATTTTAAATTACCTAAAGTATCTTCCTAAACTTTTGATCCTTTGGATTCTTCTGATTCTTAATAACTAAGGTATTGAAAGGGCAGACTTGGGGATCCTAGCAAAATTAATTTAGACTTAGGCTATTAACTCACATCATGCATTCTTGGCTTAAAGAGAACCATCGCCTTCCAAAAAGAAGGCCCTTAGAGTACACAAGTCTAAATCAGCATGACTATCCACATGCCATATGTAGTTTTAAATTTTCTGGTAACCACATTTTTTTTTCAAAAAATTTTAAACAGATGAAACCAATTTTGGTAATATATCTTATTTAACTCAATATATCTAAGCTATCATTTTAACATGTAATCTTTTAATAATTACTAGTATGTATTTTACACTATGTTTTAAGTCTTTGAAATCCACTAGAAACACGCACAACCATAATATCTTATAAATGCAATGATTACAGTACAAGGCAGTTTTTCCCCTCCCCTCCCCCCCCCAAAAAAAGGTGTGTTTCATGGAAAAATGCTTTACGTGCTTCTAGTTTCTTTATTCAAATAAATTAAAATTCAGTCCATCGGTCATACCAGCCACATTCCAAGTGTTCAATAGCCACATGTGGGCAGGGGCCACGGTGCTGGACAGCCTAACTCTAGATCCTACATTTGCCACGCACACATCTAGCGAGAACAAAGGAGGCTGGGCAAAGGCCTGGGTTTCTCTTACCTTTCAGCAGCTGTTCCCTGAATCACCTCATATACAAAAACCCCAGAACTCACAACGGGGAAATCTGGATCTTGCCTTTTCATTTCTCGAAGAAGGCTAAGAAAAGTGAGAAGAGATTTCCCGTACGGTTAAGAAGCATAGCAAATTGATCTCCGGAGCCCCGGGCAAAGCCTCCGAATGAATCTCAGTAAATATTCCATCTGATCTCTCAAGGCTCAGAGTGGCCGGAGAGGATTCCATCAAGCAGGTCACCCTTATTCTTCCCCAGGTGTGCTCTGATTCTCTATGCCAACGCCTAGAACCATTGGACGTTATAAAATACTAGAGGCCCGGTGCACAAAAATTTGTGCACTTGGGGGGAAGGGGGCCCGGCCTGTGCCCTCTTACAGTCTGGGACCCCTCGGGAGATAACACCGTGCTTGCTTAGGCTTGCTCCCGGGTGGCAGAGGGCAGGCCCAATCCCTAGGTGCAGCCCCTGGTCGGGCTCAGAGCAGGATCGATTGGGGAGTTGGG